GAAAGAAAGAAAGAAAGAAAGAAAGAAAGAAAGAAAGAAAGAAAGAAGACATAAAAATTGGTTTGCTGGAGAGAGGGAAACAAATCTGTTGAGGGTGTTTTGAGTGTAGTACCCATGCCTGGTGGTACTCCTGGTGACATTGGTCTGAAAGCCCTCCCTCCCATCCCCATTGGCCCGATTCTTGGCAGAGTCGAACGCAAGTAGCACATTTATAAAAGCTTTCAAACAACCTGCCCCTTTGATCCGATAACAATGTACAGAAGGGCATAGCTTTGGCCCAACCGTCCACTCCTGCTGAATTCTACTGAACTGTAAAGGATCTGTTGCTCGCGTTCATTCCTGGGACCATCCTGATCAGAATTTTGCCTTCACAGATGTAGAAATGTGGATAAAATTTGAATAAAACTATCCTTTAATACTGATAATGACCAATTTTAAGCAGCCAGACAAACATTTAACTGTTACATACCATCCCATCAAGCCCCAATCATTAGTCCTCCACCGCCGTGCCTGACAGTAGGACGGGTTTTTTAAACCTGAACTTGAAAATCTGACATACTGAGATGTGTGTAAAGTCTGAGAGGTTACAGTTTGGCTTTTTCTCAAGGCAGGATGTTTTCCGCTTCAATATGACATTCCTCAGCTGTGTAAGTAGTTTGAGAGTGGCCTCCGAACCGTACCAAATATGATAAGCGGAATTTCCTCCCGCCTTCCAGAGCAGCGGCTTTACGAAACGTCCGGCTGCTTCCGACCGTCTACACAGCTTTTTGGCTTCGTCTTTTATTTATTTTTGGTTTCCAATTACTTTAACACGGCAAAGGTCTCGTCGCATGACCCTTAAAACCCCTTCAAACTGAAACTGGATGTTCTCTCTTTCTCGCATGTATGTTTCACATTCAAAAAACCCGAACCAAAATAAACCTCGAACGGATTTATAGTTCCTCGTGTGACAGAGATGTCAAATAAAACTATTCGAATAGGGTTCAAAGAGATATTTCCCCCCCCATTAACTGTGTGAGATGGTGCAGTTGTTCAAATACGGGGTTGCTTTTCTCCTCAGAATTGCCCACAAATCATGATTTCAACGAATTCATTTGGACACACGTTTCCCCTGTTTTCCTTGCGACCGACGGCTTGGGCTGTTTAATTCATTTTCCATATTTCTCCCAACATTCCAGCCCCGAGAAAGAGCCCCCCTGTCTAATAAAAGCCCCCCCCCCCCCCCCCCCCCCCCCCCATGCAGTGTGGGCAGGAAGTGCCGGGCAGAAAGTTGCGTCATAGAAACACACGTGTGGTGGGTTTACGAGTTTGTGCGTCTGCCGCTTTGTGTGCGTTTTTCGATTTGGTTTGCATTCATTTTACCCGTGAGGACGCCGAAGAAGCTCTTGCAGCGTGCACTGTCCCTCAGGAGGAGCGTGTACGCCACATCCCCGTCCCCGAACTCCATGTGGATGCTCTGCGAGCCCAGCCCCACCTCCAGGTAGCTGAGGTCCAGGATTGGGTAGCTGTCCTTCTTCTGCAGCCAATCGGTGAGCGGGGCTCCGCTGGGAGGAAAAAACGGGAGGACTTTGATAAAGAGCAGGGACGGCAAATTGTCACGGCGAGACCGATTAAATAGCTTGCCTAACCTCTGACATTTGGGGGGGGGCGCACTTAAATGGATTAGCGAGGTCAAAGCTTATGATCACAGCAGTGATTTGATAAACGCCTTCTGTTTCAGGAGTTCAAACCAAAGAAAAAAAACAGAATCTAGCGGACCAGTTTGCTTTTGGGCTTAGAGAGGTCAGCTCTGATACTCATCCTACCATCCAGTATCTACTCGCTGGACTTCAAAGAGGACGGCAAAAAGAAAAAGGGGGGGAAGGGCCAAAGACCAGAGGAAAGAAAAAAACAGACACTTTGAGATCAATGTGTTTTCAAGATGTGACCCAGAAACCTGAGCACGTTGTGCAATATCATCTACAACCCCCGAAGCACAAGGTGTCCAGTTTTCCCTCTGAAAAAAAAAAAGAAAAAGAAAAGAGTCACAATGCTTAACCGCATTGTGGCGCCCTCTTTTGAATCCTCGTCCCAATCGGATACTGTCTCTACACCTTCGTGACTGATCTTCAAAAGTTCTCTTTCAGGACTTTTATGTCAAAAAGTATTCAAGCCCATTGTGAGGACACCAACGAGATTTTTGATTGCCTATTTTTACCCAACACTTCACCTCTTTGAACATACTGCTTGCTAACAGTGGGCCGGTGAGGCGTTCACTGACACATAAGGGTTGGAAAACTCCAAATTTCCAAAACTCTGCGTGCAATCTGTTGAAAGTGAGTATATATATATATATAGGTGACACAGGACAGGGGGAAGAGATATTACATACACACAACTCCTATTATATACACTGTACTTAATTGGTATTTTCTGTATTTCTTTGCTTAATTTAATTTAACTTAATACTAGCCCTTTAAGCTGCTGGTAACCTTAATTTCCTGAGGGAGTCTTCCCAAGGGATCAATAAAGTACTGTCTAAGTCTAAGTCTAAGTCTAATATATATATATATGTATGTATGTTACATCATGTAAATGTGGAAATGACAAGGCAAAAATTTACATCCGATTTTGTTGCACTGAAGTAAAAAAAGAAAGACAGAGTCGTATCTAAAACAATTCGGGACTTACTGAACGTCTGATGTCACTTCCAGGAAGTAGATCCTCTGGTTCGACACGACCAGCAGCGAGGGAACCTCCCCGGGCTCCCCGAATTTGACAGCTGACATCTGAAGATCCAGAAAAACAAAAAACAAACACGGGACTATCGGAGCCGTTTCCGTGAACATGACCCAGTCTGACCCCTCTATAATGAGCCTCGTTAAGCTGTAATCTTTACCCTTAATTATACGCAACTGTGTTTTTTTTAAGCTGACACCACGTTTTGGTTTGAAAGGAAAAAGAAAAAGGAAAGAATAAAAAAACAAACCCTAAATTGGACCTGTAACAGCAGCTCAAATAACATAAGTATGAGACACCGCAAGTGAAAAATTGAGCAGCCACTGTCTTGTGGTTAAATATGATTGGTGGAGCGAGACCTCCCGTTTCCCGTTGTGGTTTTGCAGAGTCCTTTCAGCTGTTTTTTGTTTGTGTTTTTCTCTTTTTTTCCAGGTGTCTCGCCGAGAAAAATTGCTAGTCTGAGGTGCTTTAGAAAGGGCTTCGGCGGAGGTCAAAAGGCAACCGGGGGGAGAGAGAGAGAGAGAGAGAGAGAGAGGGGGAAATGAACACGTCAAAGAAGCCGAGTCTGAGGAAGAGGAGCGGGATTGAGTGGGTTCACGGGGGAGACTTAACCGCAAATGAACGGCAGTTAAGTTGTCACTGGCCCACGAGATGGAATCACTCAGCGGTGGGGGGGGGGGGGAGATCCGTTTTTCAAATCTCCCGACCGCGAATGAAATAATAATAGCTATAAAACATGAAGTTTCTGCCTAAGAATCCATTCTGGGCATGGTGCCGTAAATTCCCCGGTAAAATCAGACAAAAAAAATGTTAAAAATAAATTTAAAAAAGGCTTTTTCTTATTGTGAATGACGGAATGAAACCCACAGGAACTGTAGCTGCTTTCTCGTCAACTTTTAAAACCACTAGTATTTAATTTTTTTGGGGGAGATAACAGTTCCAAACCTTGAGGTAGGAGTGAAGCTCCTCTTCCTCTTCGAAGACCTCCACGTCCAGGAAGAGCTGGAGCCGGTGGTCCACGGCTTCAAAGTCCTCCGAGAGCAGATCCAACTCATCTGTGGACGATTGGGATTAAGGAAAAATCATATTAAATTGTGTTAAGGTGAGAATTTCCCGCACATTGTTAGGCAAAAAAAGCTCAAACCCGCTTCGGCGTTATCTAATTTCTTTTAAAAGACACTACCGTGGTAAAAGGGTCAGACCAATGAGTTTGAGTGAATAAATCTGAGAGCCAACTTGGACAATAAACCCAATTTGTGGAACTGTGTGCGTCAGTTTTTATCTTTAACTTCTTAAAAACTCCTTAAAATTGAAGATTCGCTTGGCTGGGGAAAGCATCTTTAAATGTTCTTCATCCTTTCTGGAGGGATTTGAACCCTAGTACTAAACCAAAAACTGGGTGGCATGTTGGGTTAGACCGGAACCTTCTTTAGCAATGAGCCAAACTTAACCCGAGAAGCTGTAACTCAATCTTTTCTGTTTAGTCGGTGCATTATTTAGATGATTTTACAGGCTAACTTAAACATAACTACCCTCTATTAGCATTCCTCCTGATTTCGACTGAAACTTCTATCTAATAATATAAGTTAATAATAACCTTTATCTGAACTACTTAGCGAAGCAAAGTGGGCACGTGCACGCTCCTGCGTGGTGTAAAACGTAGAAACGCTCCGTTAAAAACTAAAAAAATCGCCATCTTTAAGCTCCGCCCACAGGGCCGATCGGCTCTAATGAATAAGCTGCTTTTTTTTTGGCTCCTTCCCTCGTTCCCTCAAACGATATCTTTCATTAATAGTTTAAAAAAAACATACTTTCCTGGCAGCGGGGGGGGGGGGCTTAAAATATTTCCTGGCTTTTGATTTTTTACTGCGGCGGGCCGCGGCATTAGCCAACAGGCCCCACAAAACATTCGAGAGCAGTAAATCCACGTCGGGAACGGCAGCAGGAGTTATTTTGAACAGCGATGGACGATTTATTCTTTTCTTTTTTCTTTTTTTTTTGCTTATCAGAAATGACAGGGCCGAAACAAAGATAAAATGTCTTTGATTTGGGAAGACGTTTCACGCCGAGATCTGGGAAAAAAAGTAGGAAAAAAGGCCTTTGAAACCCTCAGAAAAAGAAACGTGTAAAAGGTAAAACATTCGATTGCATGGCTTCTTTGGAAAAGGGGGGAAAATTGGAGGGGGGGCGATGAGTTTGTTACAAAAACAAACAAACAAACAAACAAAAAAATAAAACTGGAAGATTTCTGCTAGCAGTTAAAGGATGAGTTACTGGGTTTTATGAGCCCGGATTATATGTTTCTGGATATGCAACTACACCACTACATAAAAGAAGAAGAAAAAAAAAGAAAAAGAGACACAGAAAGCTATCGTTACAGCTCGGCCCTTCCCCTTTTATTCGGATTTCGCTCCTCTCCCGTCTCCTCCCGTAATGACTCCAATCTGTCCCGTTGCGCGTTCGCCATGTGGCTCGTCCAAAAAAAAGCGGGGCCGGCAGATGTGGGTAAAAAAATCCCGGGGGGCGGCTGGAGACGGGAATCAAACGCTTCCCATCTCCGCTCGCTTTCAATTAAGGCTCCGATCCGTCTTTTCCTGGGGAGGCCTGGCGGCTGACGTAAACAGTTTACACCACACGCCACATCTGATGTGTAGAATCTGAATCGGGAGTCGTAAAATACCACTTATATTTTTTTACTGCCGTTCGGGCTTGGGTCCAAATCGACGGCCCCCCTGCCAACATGACGGAGTATAAAAAAATAAAATAAAATGGCGAGCAGCTGACGGAATCTGTCCATTAATCAAAAACCGTATCCGTCGGTTCCGCCATCCAAAAAAATGGCGGTTTGATTTGTACGAGATCCTGTAAAAGTCAAATCGAGACCCCATTTCAAAAGAGTTAAGCCTTAAGAGTGTTGGGGCAGATCGATGCTTGGCTCAATATCTGACTCGGTGATGTTCTTGGGATTTTTAAATCTGTAAACTATTAGTGTAAATAGAGGGGGGGCGGGGCTTTTAGAAGAGCTTTTGTGTTCTATTTTTAACTTTAAAAGAGGGAGATGACGTCAAGGCCCTGACCCAACATCTAAGGATGGGCGTAAATGCTCCTTTAATACTCTGAAAGATATAAATGCCATGGTTCTTGCCATGGTTCTGCTCGAGGTTTCTGCCTGTTAAAAGGAAGTTTTTCCTTGCCTGTGTCTCCTAGTGCTTGCTCATGGTGGGAATTGTTGGGTTTCTGTAATTAACTTCAGAGTAGGGTCTGACCTGCTCTGTTTGGAAAGCGCTGTGAGACAACTGTTGTTGTGATGTGGCGCTATATAAATAAAATTGAATTGAATTGAAAAAAAAAAAAAGCAAAAATTATAAGATAAAAATTTAAATGGATTCATAAGAATAAGGACCCCAGGAACATGAGCAAAATGTTTGGTTCGGTATTGAAAGTGGTCTGAGCCAGCTGATTGGCTGGAGAAAGT